ATGTGCTCGCCATTGACGTAAACACCGTATCTTTTTCAGTCCAGTTGCTTGAAAACGTCTTTCAATTCAGCGATGAAGTGTTTCGGGGATATTATGTCACCCTGTCTTACACCTCTCTGCAGTTGCATAGGTTTCGTACTCTGGTTCTGTCCTCGCACAGCCATCTTTGTCCTACAGTACAAATACTTCAGCACTTCGATACACCGACAGTCAACTTGGCAGTGCTGAAGGGATTGCAGCACTGTCTAAATTTCGAAGGAAGCAAAGGCTTTCTCGTAGTCCACATACTCAAGACAAATGGTAGATTGTACTTTTCGGTCTTCTGTACAATTTTCCGAAGGGTATGTACGTGGCCTATGATGCTAAAGCCTTTTCGGAAACCGGCTTGTTCGGGAGGCTGAAAGTTGTTGAGTCTGCATGCGAGACGATTCGTAATCATCTCGAAAATATCACGTTGACGCGGCTCTGAAGCGAAATCTTTCTGCAGTTCTTCAAGAGTATTTTCGCCTTTCTTGAAGAATAAGACCAATGCACTTCTACTTTATCGCCTCTGGAGTAGTGCCACCATGGAAAACGGAATTAAAGAGCTTCTGAAGGACTTCATTTACCGGTTTTTCATCAGGTTTTAGAAGCTCTGCTGTAATTCAATCTTCTTATAATAGTATTAGGAGAAAAACGAGTGGAATTTGTGAACGACTCTACGATATGCTAAAAATTTATGTGAAGAGCTTGGAATTCTTTTGAACCCCCCAAGACTAACTCAGTTCAAACCAAAGAAAAACTCGAGGTGGCATATTTTGGCGAAGAAAATGTAAATGTAGGGTACGAGAACGAATTGAGGCGAAAAATGTTTACTTCAGAAAACAGAGTAACTGCTGAAATTCATGATCGATTCCAACAACTGCAAAATCTAGCGTAAAAATATGCCTTTTAATGGCTGTAGTAATATCGGGCCGGAAGAATTGAACTTACATCAAGCTCGCTGCGACATAAATACAGAAGAGTTCCACAGGAGCGCGCACGTCTCCGTGCGTTGCAACTGCAACAGACTCAGACTGTAAAAAGGGCTTATTAAGTCCGGCTTTCTGGGTTTATTAAAATACGTAATTGAGTCATACTTAAAGATGGCTTACCAAACATTGTCATAATAAAAATAAAATAACAAATAATACAAAGGATTGTTTTAACATCCGCTGTTAGTAATGCAAGTTGCCAGATAAATTTTTTTAAACTAAAGTTAATAAAAATTATGTGAGATCGACTGCGTCAAAATTGAGACCACCAAATTTAGCTGTTCTGGAAATGGAACGTGACATACATTTTCATATTGACGAATGTGTTAAAGATTTTGCTTTGAAAAAAAAGACGAAAACTACATTATCAATTTAATTTTAAAGCTAATAGTGACAGAAATAATTAATAATTCTAGGTACGCTATAGCTAAATATTTTATATAAATAAATATTTTATTCTATCCAAGTTGATCTCAATGGCTGTTGGTTAAGAGAACGTTGACAACCGCTATAAGTATCCACTTTTGGCGGTAATTAACGATTCTCTTAATTTATCAAATGCAAAACAACGAATTGATTCCAATAATCCACTACAGCTAGTTAACTAGTTAAGTTACTTTTAGATTTTTTAATCTGATCTGATTTAGAAGTAATGAAATAAAATGATGGGTGGCGCTCTCGTCTGCTCCTTAAGTATAACTATACCTAAGTATACTTTTTGCAATACCTGTAAAGGTTGCTAAGTGTTGAGCACTATGTATAATTTAAAATCCAACTGTACATACATTATTATTATTTATTGCATGTACCTAGTGTTAAGTTAGTAAAGTTATGCCTTATAAACCATCTGACAATTTTAAAAGATAAACTTCCTGTGGGTTTCTTGTGCCATTTCTTCCTATAAATGTTCGTTCCTCCCGAATCAGTGGTAGTTTATATTGAATTTAAATAAGTTAAAATATTTAAAGTTTAAATTAAAATAATTTTAAAAAATGTGGGGCGAATTTCTGGACGGACCCGGGCGGCAAAAACCTACGCTACGCCACTGTAAGTTTTCATATAAGTAAGATAAATTCGAACTATTTTAATAATGCTAATATACCGATTAACTTGTATTAACAGCAAGACATACGTGTAATAAGTAATTTCTTCTGATCAAAAAATCCTCAGAAGCGAACAATGCTAGCGGAAAGTGATGTAATTGATCATAACTGGTGTTGAGTTACGTGTTGATTTATATAATAGCGTTGTTTACGTTTTAGAAACGAGTCAATAACATATTGGTAAACGGCATGCGACGTTTATTTGGTAATGGTAACAACACAAAAATAATTCGCATACCTGGCCACGGTAATTTTATCTATACATTCCAACTTCATACAAACGGACGAAGCGAGAGCTATACCTACGCGCTTCGATCCCGGCATACGCTCGGCATGCAGACAGTCGTGACTGTGCCGCAGTGATGATTTTGTGGAATATATATAAAAATGTAGGAAATAAATAACAGAAGAGAAATAAATAAATAATAAATCTGAACTTCATTTAAAACCAAGCATATAAATGGTAAAATATTTTTTACTTGGTTATAAAATATAGATACCTCTATAACCAAGTAAAATATATTTTTTTCTCCACCTTGTCCATATTCCAAGTCCCAAAACAATTTTTAATTAAGCTTTATATTAGAGTGCGGATTTTTTATACTTAAAAATTTATAATAAAGCATTTCGTACGTCTCAGCCGAGGCGCAAATATTTTTCGGTCGTAAATTCATAAGACCGATTTGTTATTTAAACATAAACGTGGTTTTTTAATTAAATCTACCAATCAAAAAACGACACGCATTTTTATTGAACACTTCCTATTCTATTCACAAAGTACCTCAGTATCATATTTGTTTATATAAAAAAAGGATATCTACAATCATTAAACTAAATGGAAACACAATGTAGGCAAATGTAAAAATGCTGGAGGCAGGCAGCCCCATTGATTTAGTATTGTATAACTCAATGGTCAGCCCTATCGCATGTTTATGTACCTCGCGGCTGTAGGTATTTATTTTAAAGATACGGCCGAGTTACAATACTGTATAGATAATATTACCGTGACCTGGCTATTATCTATGTACTATTTACGTGGTAGAGCCACGCTGCAGCAACGTTGTGATTGCAGCACGAACGGGTCGGTCGGGTTTTTACCAGAGTAAAAAAGCAGCTTAATGGTGCTGTGTTTCGTATGGTGAGTGTAGAGAACCGGATTACCCTTTTTACTGGAAATGAGGCATTCCATCTCAGTCCTCGGGGCTGGCAACGCATCTGCATTTTGATTTTTAATTGAAGATAAATGTTGATGTCTACGTGCCACAGCATCCACTTAACATCGGGTGGACTGTGTGCTCATTTGTCACCCTTATACTATATAAAAAAATCTCCGTCCTTGGTTCGAATATCACATGCCCGAAAGTGGCTCCAGGTTTTTCCGGGTATTTTTACGTAGTTATGTGATTGTCCTCCGTCTCTGACATAGCCACCCCAGCCTACCTTCATATGCCTTTTTTAAATAAAATGGAAGTGACCATCGAGCCGACAGTCCATCTGATGGTAAAATCTGATGGTATAAACCGTGTAGTGGCGGTGTTAGAATATCCACCACCCGTATCATTCCGTGGGTGTCGTAAAAGGTGACAGGAGGAAACTGAAACACGAGACGGACAGCAGCATCTTCCTAATAACAACTGAAAATAAAAAACAACGGTTGTCAACCCGCATGCCAAGCGTGGCAACTATCGCAAAATCCCCTCTATGGGAAATCTATGGGGGAGGCCTATGTTCAGACATATAGTTCAGTGGTAGACTTTTACAGGCTGTAATAATAACAATAATGTCCTCCAGACCGATTTTCGGCCACGGCGGCCTGCCTCAACATAGGCTAGCCATCGGCGCAGGACAGGATTATAGTGCCCAAGTGTATGCGCAAGCACAGGTGCACTCTCTATTCTCTCACTCACATAATCCGATGGGACGGTAAACCGACACGACCGGAGAGAGATCAGGCGCAGGACCAACGGCTTTACGTGCTTTTCGAGGCACGGAGGTGCGACATCACCAACTTCCTGACTCCTGGCAACTACTAAGAATTTCTTGACGGAAAAACTCAATAATTAACCTTTTGGCCCGACCCGGGATTCGAACCCAGGACCTCATGATCAGTAGTCGCACTACTACCACCACTAGACCAACGAGGTAGTCAAAAAGGACTCTAGAGATATGATGTCACCTCTCAGGACTAACATAGCCGCACGACCTGTAATACTGGCTGGTTCTTAATACCATTCAGACCGGAACACAGCAGTGCACGCCCCTTTGGCGGCAGCAATAAGTGAGAGAGTGGTACATACCCAGAAAAATAAAAGAAGAAAAAGAAAAAGGGGAGGATACTACCACCTAAAAAGAGAACCTAACCCTCAAGGTTTATTGCAGATGTCCATGCGCTGCACTCATTATTTACAAGTCGATCGATTAAAAGCATTTTTTTAATTTTGTTATATCTATATTGATACTGTTGTAGTAAAGTTATAGCCTATATTCGTCCCAATACTGGGCACTGGCATCCCTGAATTTCTGAGTGTTTCAGGGCAAGGAAGTGTCCGCGGCGCTGGTCCAATGCGTGCCGGCGGGCTTCTCATGTCTTCGAAATATTAAAAAAAAATTATTTCACAAAGACGCAGGTTTCTTCACGATGTTTTCCTTCACCATCGAGCACGTGGTAAATCAGTATTTAACATTATAATTAACAATTTAATTTGTGCCGGTGGGGATCGAGAACCCGGGTTGCTCGCGTACAAATTTTTAGCACAATTTTTAGAACAAATTTACAGCGAGCGCTAAGCTCCTGAGCTACCACGGCTCATAGTTTGTTTATAAATATTTAAACTTAGTTGGCTAATTATGTGTGTGTGTTTGCAATAAATGTTTCTTTCTTTCTTTAATTTATCTCTCTATAGTTCAACAAAATAATATTAACATACCCATTGTGAAGGAAAAGGTCGGCATTCGATCGCGCTCCGTAAAAGATGAAAATTTGTTCTCCAGCTTTGAAGTCACGCAGCGCGTAGCATTCGCCCCTGTTCAGTTTCTTATTGTAGTCTGTTGTTATCTGAATATTATATTATTTTAATTTTAATACAGATATATTAAATTTAGTTTTATACGTTTGTGATATTGTGGTAACATTAAGAAAATCCATCAATAAATCTTTGCCCGTGTATCTTATAACGAAAGTTGAGATTTACTTCTAAGATTTATTGGCAATCGATATCTGTCGGTATTGTCATTTTACATTTATCAATGCTAAATACCTAAGGCGATAATGGCAAGCAGCGTTAATAATGTGATATATCTGGTATCGCCATCGCCAATCTGCCTACCAGGGGTGGCAATTATCCCCCCCGAACGGGTTCCCGCCTTGTCGTGGCGGGGGGGCTTAGTAGCCGTGGCTTGGTCTCCCAAGTCCCAAAAAATTCATGATTGGTAATTTTTTAATATGAATACTTTACAAACATATATTTAAATTAGGTTAGGTTCCCCGGTTAAAACTAACATCGTGTCCTGGAGGAAAATAGCTACTTACGATTTGACAGCGCTTACCGCTTACGATCGCCATTTTGCTTACAAGCGCTTGCTAGCGCTTTTTTCTGCCAAACGCACCCATTATTGCGTCTTTAATTTTTTTTTTCAGGAAATGGTCAATTTACCTTGTATCTATATATGCGAATTCTGTTTGAAGTACAGGAAAAGTAAAAAGTGCCTCGAAAGACATTTAGTAAGTACTCATTTGTCAACATACCATTAAAAGATTTTTTCATGAGAAATTTCTTAGATTTGCACATGTAATCTATTTTTTTTTAAATTAATAATATTAAAAACTTTATTAATAACATAACTAAGAGTTGATGTAGCAATTATAATTTTAAACTCTCCGCGTGTGTTGCCTCGGTTGATCTGCTGCATCAGAACTTACTCAGTTAAAACGTAACAGCATGATATATACGTCCCACTGCTGGGCACAAGCCCCCTCCCATTTTTGAGAGCGTTTTAGGGCAAGGAAATGTCCGCCGCGCTGCCCAATGCGTTTTAGCGAACTTCACATGTTTTCGAAATGTTTTTTCTTATTTCTTAGACATGCAGGTTTCCTCACGATGTTTTCCTTCACCGCTGAGCAAGTGGTAAATCAGCACTTAAAATTACAAATAACATTACATTAACTTCGTTGGTGCCGGCGGGCATCGAACCCGGGTTTTTCGTGTACTGTGAAATACAGCAAGCGCTTAGCCCCTGAGCTACCACGGCTCTTCGTGAGCTACCAAAATATTCTTTTCATTCTTCAATATTTTTAAGAATGTGAGACTCATAGTCGACGGTCCGATAAGTGTGTAAACTTTAGGAGAACACTTCTCACTGATTTTTTTAGAACGTACGACGAAAATGGAAAATAGCAATTGTTGTGCATTTGTTTCAGATAAAATGCAAACTAAAACATCCACCGGGCAATGAAATTTACCGAAAAGGCAGTATTTCATTTTTCGAAATTGACGGCCGAAAGAACAAATGCTACGCTCAGAACCTCTGCCTGCTAGCAAAACTGTTCTTGGACCATAAAACCTTGTATTATGATACGGACCCATTTTTGTTTTATGTTATGACAGAGTTCGATGCTAGAGGTAAGTGTATTGATAAAGTTACAAAGATACTTTGATATATATTATTTATTTATTTAATATTTATTATACACCTTATAATAAGGAGTATAAAGGGCGGACTGATGGCTTTCTCTACCAGTCAACCATGGATGGTTTGAGAAACTGGTAGGGGCAAAGTGCAAACAATTTTCTTAATAAAATAAGTAATAAACATATGAGGTATAATGAAATGTAGATAACTAAAATATAGTTAATTAATACCTTAGGGTATACAAAAGTCAACCCGGACGGGTTCCCGCCTTGTCGTGGCGGGGGGGCTTAGTAGCCGTGGCTTGGTCTCCCACGGTGAACAAAGAGGAACCCACGTGGCTGGCCCGAGGTGAAGGGCCGGCCTGAGGTGGCCACTCCGAGTGGGCTTGGGGAGCCCACTTCGGATGTGTGCTGGTGGACTGCAGCGAGTGGGGACTCCGCACCCTCTACCGCTGCAGCCGAGGTGGAGTCGCGGAGGAAGAGGAGTGTTGGTATGGCGATGCGCCACTCGCCCTATCCTCCGCGACTCAAACGGGGCCGCACCGTTGATGCGGTGGTGATGGGGCTGCGGGGGGAGAGGATTGTCGGTATTGCGAGGCGCCGCTCTCCCTATCCTCCGCAGCCGAATCTTGGTTGGCGGCGGAGCCATAGACCAGATCCGCCGCTGGGGTCGGGAAGGCTAGTACTTCTTCGCCTTCGCGCATCGGACGCGGTCTGTTGCGCAGATGCAATTGGAGGCCGTGGAGGAAGGCGTGCCATGTGTTCTGGTGCGCCTTACTTGGGAAGGAGAACGGGGAGGAATATTCCTCTCCCGAGGAGGTGCTGCCATGGGGCGGCAGTCGCTGGTAGGGCCGCGGAAGTGTGCGAAAGCGTTCCCGTAGCCCTGCTAATATGCGACGATGGTGGAACACCATGGGGTTTTAGTCGGTGCGAGTCCGACATAACCCGTCCTTGCCCCCGCGAGGCGGGTATGCGTAGGCATCTCCCCATGTTAAAAAAAAGGGGTGGCAATTATGACAAATTATTTCTAGCATCTTGCTAGAATTGGTGTTCGAACTACTAGATCACTTGCTTTTTAGAGCAACTCCTTGTCACTGGTCCGAATTTTTAGGTCCGGTAACACTAACGAGATGGTTATTCACCACAAGAATTAGTTAGTTAGTAGTAATTAGTAGAGATAGGCTTTTACGTAAGTTATGGACTGTTATAGACCGATGATAAAAGCTACCCGTATCTCGAGTACACCTCTAAATAATGCTATTGAAACAGACGTAGGTAAATAATTAAGTTAAACAATGAGCATCACTGTGTTTGTACATTCTGGGAGAGACTGAACATATGTTTTGCGACGCTGCTGACGAACCAGAAATTATTTCTTGTACAATGGTTCATGACGTAAGGTAGTCACCTTACGTCGCACGCAAGTGAATACGAAGAAGTGAATAGTGGCACTTGAGATATCCGTAAACAATTATTTAAAGCAACATCCTTTTATTGTTTTGTATGATAGATGGTAATGTATACCTCATCATCATCATCATTACATCCTATAAAAGACCACATTTGGCTTTGTTATATTAACCCTACATTTTACTAAATGTCGATTTTCTCATATTTAATTAAATGAAAATAATGATGACTTCAATATACTATACAAACGTGTAATTTAAAGATATACACTCAGTGAGGAGAGACCTGGTGACCTATAGAACAGGTATTGTTTAATACCTTTATTAGGCACCAGTCTCTCACAAACTAGAGTTCAATACGTTTATAGTTTAACATGTTTGTCATCAATAATTCTGTGCCTATTTGTGATGAGAAAATAAATATAAATTCTATTCTATTTAATTCTACTGCTGAACACAGGGCTCCCCTATAAATTACCTCATAGGGAGGATTTTGCCATATATGACACGCTTGGCGAGCGGGTTGTCAAGCGCAGTTTTTTTAATTATTTTTTGTTGTTATCAGGAAGATGGTGCTGTCCATCACCTGTTTCAATTTCTGTCGCCTCTTGCGACACCCACGGGGCGATGTGGTTATTCTTACACCGTCACTACACGGTTTACTGGATACCTAAGGACCCGCAAATGTTTCATGTACGAGTATGTTCTAACTCGTTCTAACTCGTATGTTTTAAGCAAATGTTTTTAATATTTATCCTCTTTCTCTTTATATCGTTAAAGTTTACAACTGGACACGGGTCTTTCCTGTAGCTGTAGGTCGGATTAACCATAATCGTAACCTTTGGCAGACAGATTGGTATCCGCAGTACCAGACATCTTGCAGCTTTAACGCTCCGGGTATTTTATGTCTAGCAGCAAACAAGAGGCCACGCCGCCATCTAACGAAAGCCATGCGAATTTTGGTATATCACGAAGTATTCTCTTACGTCATCTATGGGACTAAATGGCTGTTATACTAAAGTTATAGTATTCCTGATGTTAGAATAATTTTAAGTGACACTTCAAAAGTTATCGGAATAACGTGAGTAAAGCTGTTTGGTTATCCAATAAAATGTATAAAAGTTTACCTTGCCCTGTTCATGGTTGCACATATCCCAGAGCGGTATGAATGCGGTAGTCGTAGTGTCAGCGAGCTGGATTTGATTTTGTCGCGTCATCACTGTTGAAACAGCCCATCTGAACAAAGATATTTTAATTAGAATAAAATCAACTCATCAAAATCAAAATACATAATAGTTGATGCATTTGTTATTTATGTAATTTTAGCTAGCCAGTCTACATATATATAATAAATCTATTTCTGTCCGTTAATCTCGCTAAACTCAAAAACGGAAATAACGAATCCCTAGATGGTTTAGATTCACAATTGTAGTATGCAGATGACCTGAAAGTTTATCGAAATATAAATTCCATTAATGTATGTGAGAAGCTACAGGAAGATCTTGACCGGTTATCTAACTACTGTCTAATCAATAAATTGCAATTAAGCATCCCTAAATGTAAATCTATCTCTTTCACCAAAAACGTAAAAACCTACAATTACATATATTCCCCTCTTAACAGTACCTTAGAAAAAGTATCATTAATAAAAGATTTACGCATCCTTTACGATTAAAATCTAACCTTTAATGCTCATATCAGCTATGTAACAAATAAAGCATATCAAATGTACGGAATTGTTGCACAAACGTGTAATTTTTTTAAAAGCTCCTCATCTTATTTACTACTTTTCAAATCACTTATCAGATCACAAATTGAATATGCAACGCAAGTATGGAACCCCTATTATAATAAATAAGGTGAACTTCTAGAATCATTACAAGCAAAGTTTCTTCGTTTTATAAATTATAAATGTTACCACGCTAAATCATCGTATCGCAACTTATTAAAAAAGTTTTCAATTCATACTTTAAAAGCTAGAAGAATATACTTTGATCTAATACTATTATTCAAAATAATGCGAAATGATTTAGATCGTAGTGAACTACTTAACAAAATATATATATCCGTGTCCCTATTCGTTCTCAACGCATTAAAGACGTGTATATACACATAAATTGTTTGCGCCTAAACTATGTAAAACCAATGCAGGTGAACGCGCCCCATTGAGACGTATTATGAATGTATACAAAATGCATTTTTCAAATATTGATCTATTCACTTTATCACAGTTACAATTTCGCAAGAACGTTCTAAGAAAGTTGGTAGATATTCAATAGTATCTTAAAATATTTTACAAGATAAATTTGTACTGTTAGCAATTTTTTTTCCTTTTGTCTCATTTTGATTTTTATGTTACTGAGCATTGTCAATTTTATTTTATTTTCCCTTTTTCACGTATACTCTGTTTATTGTGCATTTATTATTTACTGTTACCAATTTAATATTACTTTCTGGATAACGGTGCTGGTTACATAATGACTAATATTATTTATAAAATGTTATTTGGTTTAAGCATTACTATGTAATTGTTTGTTGACCTGAATAAATTAAAAAAATAAGGCCTTACCCGACAGGCCTTATTACCCGCAGGTAACTTACATGACCCTAAGTTACAAAAATATAATAACCACTCTCGCTCAAGGAGATAACAACATACTGCTATTACACGATAATGTTTCTACAAGTTTAGGGACTCGCTACCCCGCGTCCTGCAAACAGAGTTGCATTATCTATCGTAAGATACGACCGCACTGCACCAATAATAAAAATCAGTCCAAATAAATCTTAGATTATAATAATATGTTTTGTAATATTACACTTGGCTATCTAAAATCGTAATCTTTTCTTTCTGAATAAATGCTTTGTTGATCTTGAAGATTTGAATAACGTATCGTCGTCACATTCTTTTTAATTTGGTTTTTCTTAAATACTTGGTCGGCCTACTAAATTTCACCACAGACCTTATTATACTCCCTCTTCGTGTGTAGTGTTTTTTGTTTTATAATGTATTTTATATACACACATACATACATAAACACTCACGCCTGTCACCCAGAGGGGTAGGCAGAGACTACAGAATTCCATTTAGCACGATCCTGACATACCTCTCTCGCCTCTTCCACATCCATATACCTACGCATACATGCTCGTCGGTTAAGGGTACTCTTAATTTGGCCCATTTTTAGTATATCGCCAATTTGGTCGACAAACTTCCGCCTAGGACGTCCCTTTCCGACTCTTCCATTCACTAAAAAAGAGAAGAAAAGAAGGCGAAAAGAGGATAGCGGAGGCCCGTCTAGCTACGCTGTATTTTATATCACGTTTATAATGTTGTAAATTCAAATAAATCGTACGCTTTTATTAAAAACTAATGTCATTGTCAGAAAACGACCTAGTTTCAGCTGTCTGTGCAAAACTGTGCAAAGACAAAGTGTGTCGAAGAATTAAGATTTTGACATTAGAAGCTATTAAAATGTGTAAATTATTGGTCCTGCATCAAAGCTCCGTCGGACCGTGTCGGATTGCGATTTGATGATTGTGAGGGAATAGAGAGTACACCCGGGTTTGCGAATACATTCGGACACTATAATTCTGTACCAGGCAGATAGGCTAGTCTCCGTGGAGACTGGCCGCTGTGACAAAAATTCAGTTGGGGGACACTCAACCCAACTCTCAACTCAACTGGTGATAATCACGAGGAGTGCGTTTGTTCATGATTATAATAATGACTTTAAGTGCTGTTAGGCGAAGAAATTCATATTTATTTTAGTCCATTAAATCTCAATTGCTGCATTCATGTGATTATTGATCACAAGTATTAAATATATTACGTATTGTCTAATTATTTGAGTTCGTTAAAGCAGTAGGCCTTATTACTCTTCCATATTAAAATAAGGCCTACTAGCTAGGTTTTTAGAAATGTAATTTTGTGTTCCTTTATGGCAAATGTTACAATTTTTCGTTAATACTTTTCTAGCGGCGCTGTCGTCGCGCCACTAGCACACCGAAGCCTAAATCACGCTATTAACGTTCTGAATCATAGACAGTATATATAGAACTTCTCCGAACTATCACTCGGAGTGTTGGCCGCTCCCCGGGCAGAACACCTTGCCCGGCGGGAGATCTCCCCTTTTTCCTTCCACGGCCACAGTGGTGACCCCGACGTGATCTGAACACGCAACCAAACAACCTTCGGAAACTTCAAGCTTCATCATCGTCATAGAATACCCCACCCATTCGCTCCCGAGCAGATATCGTCTGCAGTCTTCATATCCTGCAAGCCATCTAGCTTCACAAGGTTCATCGCAGCACTGGAATAATAATGCTTCCTGTTCCTTCAAGCTACACTCTGCGCTACAGTGTTCAGCACGGCTCTGAGCCTTACTGCTCGCCTCAGCTTCACGGCACTCTCGCGGATTACTTGCCTTCTTCTCGACTCACCGCAGACTACAAGGCAATCTCCTGGTACTTGCACATTCGTCGACAACAAGACTGCACTATCGACCTCCGGTCTGAGCAGGGGGGTGATGTAGCGGCGCTGTCGTCCCGCCACAAGCGAAATACACCGAAGCTTAAATCACGCTATCAACATTCCGAATCATAAACAGTATATATAGAACATCTCCGAACTATCACACGGAGTGTTGGCCGCTCCCCGGGCAGAACACCTTGCCCGGCGGGAGATCTCCCCTTTTCCTTCTACGGCCACACTTTATAGAAACTGTACTAAGCCAATGATTGTATTAAAACTGTAGACCAAATTGAATATTTCTCACTTCGATTCGTTTTATATCTATATATTTTATATATTTTCGATTATTATCCGCAGGTATAATACATGGTATTTATATATTTATGTAATAGCTTCGCCTCGCGTTATTTACATTATAGATAATCAAACACCATTTATATTTAAATAAAAGTTTTTTTTTAAATTGAATAAAATGTGGTCTAGAATTTTCCTGGCTTTTCTCTCTATCAGTTTCAGCCACACCGAAGATTAGCCTGGACAATATTAAAAATGTTTTAATAGCATTCATAAAACCTCCCGAGCTTAAAAGAAACCAGTTATTTCATTATGACAGGAGAGGCGCTTCAATTTTTTTGTAAAAATATGTATATTCAAACCTGAATAGTTTGCGTCCTATAATGACTATGCTTGACCCAAGACTTAATAATAAACACTAATATTATGACAAAGTCAAAAAGAATAAGCATTCAAAAAACGAATGCGTCAATATTATTTTTTTTTAAATAGAATAAGGGTGACAAACGAGCACACGTTCCATCTGAGGATTAAGATGAAATGCCGCGATTCCAGTAAAAGGGATTTGCGCTGGTATTCAGAGCCGACCTATTCATGCTACAACTATAATATAGCTCAGCACGCTGCACATGGACATTTTTTACATGGTAGAGCCACGGCTCTACATGTATAAAAGTACGTCATTCATTTCGTTTATGTATAAAGTCGAAGTAGCTTGACAAGCTACCTAACTAAACAAATAAAGCTGTTTTTCTATTCTAGTTTTTATATCTAGATAAAGAGATAAAATGCCATATGTACATGCAATATATTTACGCATTAGTTTTTTGTTAATAATAATTATATGGTCACTAGCGAAAACAGAATCTCAAACTAGTTATGCAACATAGCAATTACGTGACTACGAAATTAATATAACTCGTCGAAACCACAACACCGCGGTGAAGACAATTAAAAGTAAACAATTAATTTTCTTATACGGCTCTCAAGAACGTTCCCTTTAATTCATTAGTGTTCATTTTTATCCATGTTTTTTTTTAATGAGGAATTATAATGTGTATTAAAATAATATATTGATATTACGCAAACATACTGTTATATACAACTTATTAAATAATGTGTAGATTCAACAATGTACTTTCTCTTCAAATTAAAGTACTTAGAGCCCAAAATTTATTTTTTCTTATCATAATCATTACATCCTATCGAATTACACTGCTGAACAAAAATTTGCTCCCCCATAGCACCATATAGAGGGTATAGTTAACATACTTGCCACGCTTGGCATGCGGGTTGACATCTGCAGTTTTTTATTATTTTGAGTTGTAATTAAGAACATGCTGCTCCGTTTCCTGTTTTGGTTTCCCTCTGTTGTCACTTACGACATTCAGGAGTTGACATATGCGCCTCCTACCACACGCTACTACACGACAACACTTCCTAAAGCGA